TCTAAATAGTGTCATCGAGGGACTATGATCTTATATTTGTCTGTTTTTGCTAAAATACTTCACATGCGTAATATGGCCATTTTTGTGTAAGGCAACCAAGTGGAGTAACCCTAAGGGTGCTTGTGTGCAAGTGTGTTATTTTCATGCTTGATTTTGTCTTGGACTAGAGTTTTCTATTTAATTGTTTTTTTATCTTGCCATACAAACCCTAATTACTAACATGTTATGTAAAAGTGATAAATTGCGTAATTTTAAGATTACTACGCTATTACAACATTTTATGGGAGGGTATATACAAATTATGAATGGGGATTTGCAATAATGTAAATCTAATTAAACTATTACAACCAAATTGAATTTGTACGAATATTAGAATAAATAATGTATAATATAAATTAAATATGCAAAGATATGTAGATGCAAGAAAAAGATTTTATTTTATTTTTTTATATGAAAAAAGTTTTGAACTAAACCTAATAAATTAAGAAAAGGAAATTATTTCTTAGAAATTGATTAACCCTAATTCTAACTTTTTAAAAGAAAATAAAATTCTTTAATTATTTTTTTGTATTTTTGTCTTGAAGATAATAAATAGTATTTATGAAATATTTTAGTCCTTTTATATGTTAAAATAAATATTTATAAGTGTGAGAAAAAAAAAAGAATAAATAATTAACCTAATTCTATTTTTATTTACAAGTTTATTAAGAAAAATAGTTAATATATAACTAAATAAAAATATTTTTTATGATAAAATAAAATAAAATAAAACAAAATATAATATTTATCATTTTTATATTTTTTATGATTTTATAATATTTAAGAAAAATATATTTAATGAAATAAAACAAAATAAAATAAATAAATGAAAATAGTTGGGCCAGGGGTGCTGTAAGAAAGAGGAGGCAGGAGGTTAGCAAAAAACATTGGGCCCAATGTGCTGAAGCCCACGCTGCAAAAACAACAAAAAATTGGAAAAGGTGTGAAAAAGATGCAAAAGGCAGGCGCCAAGGCTCGAATCCATGACCTATGGCAATTTCTGTGCGATGCCTTGCCACTGGGGTGGTTGTACATCCGTTAGTTCAAATGAAACTAAAAATACATAACATAAAATGCTTCCTTGCCCTGTACTTCATCTTCTTCCTCTAGCCAGCCGGACCCCCTATAACTCTTTCATCTCTCAACAAAAATGGAAAGTGATAACATGAACACTATAGTATTTTATCTCACGATTCTAACCATGTGCATAGCTAAAACTATAAGTCCAAGATCAGAGAGAATTTTGTTGGCCCTAATTCTTAACCTAATTTTTTCAGAAACTTCAAACTCAAAATTCTCTCAACTCAGGCCAAATAAATGCAAGTTATGGATATGTACAACTTCGTAGCAATGATGTCTACATTGTATATTCATAAACAGAAAGCTAACTATGCTTGTATCAAGAGTTAGAAAAACAGAAAACTCACCTTGAAAATGGAAATCGTGTTTTGGAAATGAGCTTGCTTTAGGATGTTGTGATGATCAGGTTAGCTTCCTTGAACCTCTAGGAAGCTAATGCAATACTTAGCTTGTCTTGAGGGAGGCTGGAATGATCTGGAGAAGTCCACCTGTGTTACTCTGTTTTTGAAGTTCAACAATGGGGAAGATGGAGTTACAGTGATGTTTCAGGGTGTGGGATGGTTTACTTGTAAGGTAAGGAAGCTTAGGGAAGCAAAAGGCCTGAAAACACACGAGTGGAATGGAAGATTCAGTTCACAAGTCAGAAATGGCAAGTTTGGAGGCTTGGTATGCAATTTCTAATTATATGGTGTTTCAAGGCTTGGGCATTCGTGGTTTTAGTTGGATAATGATGGCTTTATACAGAGCAAAAGATTGGAGGACTTATGCTTGCTCAGAAGTACAAGATCACATGTCTTGCTACATTTCTTGTTTTTTAAGCAAGGTGAGGAGACAAGTTCGTAAGGGCTGTACAGGCGTGGTCTGGTTTGGTAGAGGCTTCAGGTAAGTTGCTCTTTGTTGTGGCTTTTCTTATGTGCAGAGAAAACAAGTGCAAGGCTGAAGGAGTGAAAAGTTGCAAAAGTTATGCTTTATCAAAATGGAAATGGCACCTTTATGACAAAAATGGAAATGTTCATGTACAAAGCATTGAATGCTTGGCTTTAGGGCATGAAACCTTGTTCAATTCATTAATGGTGGAGTGAAAAACGAGTTTGAGATCTGAAAAGTGAAGATTGTACAGCGTGCTTGAGGATTTGAATTTTGTTCTTCATGAAATGGCTTAAAATCAAAGTGAGAAATTGCCAATTCCATCTCTTTGATTCTCCCTGCTCAAGAATGACCTTAAGGATTTATTGGAAATTTTGGAAAGCTTGCAATGTGCTTTATAACTCATATTTGAATTGCTTTCCAATATTCCTCTTGGAACTAGGTGAAAAGTTGCCATGAAGTCAGGTCAAAAACCTGCCTAAATTAGGGCAAAATTTCACTAAGTTATTTTAGTTCATGAGCATGTATTCATAAAATTATATCTTGAGATACAAGCATCTTTAGGAGAATTTTGTGAAGAAAAGTTGTAGGTTTCATGGAGAACTACAACTTTCATGTTGGGAACTTTCTTTGAATCATCTTGTATCATGGTGAGAATTTGGCTTAAAGTTGAGAAAAAATAAGAAATTTTCTATACTTAGAAAAATTTCTAAGTTAAGAAAATTTCAAATTTCAAAATAAAATATTCAATCTTTGATTTCTTGATGAAAAAGTTTCACATTTTTACATGTTTTAATGAATTATGGTCTTTGGCACTTGAATTTGACCAAAAAGTCAAAGTTTGACTTTTTAGTATACAGTTGACTTTTGATCAGTTGACTAAAACATTCATCTGTCAATCCAATAGATTTGCAATATTTTGAACCATGTCTTTAGGTCAAGATGATGCAATTGAACACTTGAAATCATGCTTCAAACCAATTGGTCATTTGCTAGGTCAAAAATCAGAAATTTCCCTTTCTCAGTCAAAACCCTAATTTTGACCATTTTGCCCTTTTGATGATTTGATCAAATTTCTTGAGGAATTATGGTCCAAACTTGATCAAATGATACATATGAGTCTAAAATATTGATGTGGATCAAAAATTATGAAGCTTGAATGTAAATTGGCCATGGTTGACTTTTTCCCCAATACAGCTGATTTTTTAGGTCAATTATCCAATTGACTGATCAAAAATGTGATTCAAGGCTTGAAAATTGACATGAGTAATCTTGGGGTCCATAATTGTCCTTGAAAGTCATATGAAGCATTGATATTCCAAAAATCTTTGTGCAATCCCAAACCCTAATTTTGGGTTATCAGTGCATGATGAGATGTCTTGAGCAGATCAAACCCTAATCCAGTTTTGAGTCAAAGAGATCTTGTGAGAAAAATCTTGATAAATGAGAGGGAAAATTTTAAGTTACAACAACAATGATCCACTATTTTGGAAGGCGTTCCATTTATAACGAGCCTCAATTGTGTGGATTGTGTGCGTTTTATGATGTGCCCCGGTTCTAAGAGGGAATCAATCCTATGGTGGGGATCTTTGGAGGATAATGACCTAGTGTTCATCAATGATTTGGTACCACATGCATTTGACTATCCTTGGTCGTATAAATATTCTATGTGACGTTGCATGATTTCCATTGATAAGTTGTGATACAATGATAATTGTGAAGTATGTGACTATGTGATGTTTTGATGATGAAAGATCTACAAATGATGCTATGATGTATTATGTTAGTATGAAGTATTGATGATTGTATGTGTTGTTATATGATGATGTTGTTGAACTATTAATTCTTTTCTTATGTCTTTTATAATAAATTGTGATTACTTACCCTTTCTGTTTGAATGTTGACTCCACGCGGGTAACACGCAGGTGACTGGGAGTAGTTCGTAGAAGTGTTGATGATAGCTTCAGAGTGTTTATTTAGTTTGTTTCATTAATGGTGTTTTGCTCTTATATGTTACATCGGAACGAGAACACTCTATTTTATGGATGTTATATTTTGTTTGATGTTAACATACTTTATGTCGGTTTTGATTGTTTAAACTGGTTTTAATAATTGATTAGACTAATGTCATGAATTGTGAGAAGTTAATTATTATGAGATATGAGAACGAATTCTGCTGCGATGTTTCTAAAATGATGTGATGGTTTATAAACCGATGTATATTTTTAAAATGATGTAGTTCGTGTTACGAAGCAGAATTTATTCTTATGATGTTTCTATGAAGTGTGGCACCTTTGAGTGGTGATTTTATCTTGATTTATTTCGTAAATTAAACGAATAATAATTGTGAGGTTAGAGAGGTGTTACACATGTCATTGTCCTAAGTACACATCAGCCTCCTTTTCACAATCCCGATCTTGACCGTCCGAGTTGAAAGTTAGCTTAAGTGTTTTTAGTATGTACAATAACCATTTATTTTGCTTACTATTTTAATTTTCAAAAATAACATATTTTATTAGTCATTTTAATCTTCAAATACATTTTTTATTTTGCTAATTTGCTCTATAAAATTAAAAATAAAGGGACATATAAAATTGTGTATATTTAAAGATTATAATTATTGTTTTATAAGATAAATACCCAAAATGATTTGCCTAATTAGAATCAACTAACTTGATACGACAAAGTTTTTTTTTTTTAATATTATATTTAAAAATGAACTGAAATAGATTTTATTTTCTTGAGAAAATATTATACGACTTATACTACTATAAATTCGGCGAGAATCTGATTACGGTTACACTCTTTGACTATATCATGAACACTAAAATGCAAACTGCTATTCAAATTGTTGAAAGGCTTTGTTGTATACAAATTCCCTTTGACCATATTTTAGGGCTTTCACGTAGCTTTATTTGTGATATAAAAAAACCACAAATTCAAGTAAAATCCATTGGTCCTTTACACCACTTTTGCACTAAAATCCACTGTTGGAGTTGAATCAACGCGAAGAAATGAATCTCTCGCCGGTGGTCCTTCCTAACGATCTCATCACAGAGGTACTTTCCATTCTTCCGGTCAAATCTCTTGTTCGTTTTAAGTGTGTCTGTAATCATTTCAAAACCCTCATCTCCGATCCTACCTTCGTGAAATTGCATCTTAAGAGATCAACAACGTCAAATATGCTATTCCCGTTTGTAAAATGTCACGATTTAGATATCTCTGGAAGATCCTGCTTTTATATTTGGCTTGATTGCACTATTGTTCAATACCCTATACGCCGTTTACTCGATAACCCCTCATTCACCCTTTTTGATGGTCTTAACTATTTTTTGAACCAAAAAGGATGTAGTTACATAGTTGGTTCATGCAATGGTTTAATTCTTTTGGCCGGCGATTTTATAAATTTTCGCTGTAATATAGAATATCATCGGACTATAGATTACTGGCTCTGTGTTTGGAATCCTGCCACCAGGAAAATTTCCAAAAATTTTGGGCATTTTCGTGAGTATGGTCGTACTTCAGGTAAACAATTCTTCTTCGCATTTGGTTGTGATGATTTGAAGGACAATTATAAAGTGGTGGCGTACTCTTGCAATCGTTATGAATTCTTATCCGAAGTGAGAGTTCTTAGTTTGGGCGATGATGTTTGGAGAAATGTTGAAAGTTTCCCGGTTGTTCCTCTTTTACCCAATTATGTGTATTTGAGTGGAACTCTTAACTGGTTGGCCATTCAAAATGAGGATATTAGTGTTGAGAAATTTGTTATTGTTTCACTTGATTTGAGAACAGAGACATATAATCAGTACCTATTGCCTCCTTGTTTTGACCAAGAGTCGCCTAGAGAGCCAATCTTTGGTGTATTGGGGGGCTGCATTTCTCTTTCTTATTGTTACAAGGAAACTGATTTAGTTATATGGCAGATGAAACAACTTGGAATTCAAGATTCTTGGACTCGCTTCCTTAAAATTAGTTATCAGAATCTTGAAATTAGTAATGATCTAGTTCGTAAGTATAATTTTCATTTGATGCCATTGTTTCTTTCAAATGATACATTGGTATTGATGAATCGTCAAGAATCTCAAGCAATTCTCTACAATTGGAGAGATAATAGAGTAAAACGGACAAATATTATTGTTGGTAGTGGAATTACCGATCATGTAACTAGCAGTTTTTTAAATTGGGAATTTGTCAAAGGTTATGTTGAAAGCTTGGTACCAGTTTTTTGAATTTGAAGGTAAGTCTCTCTTTCTTGGTTTACTTGTTTGAATTTGTGTTCATTCGTATATTTTTTTTCATAATAATCAATTGTGTGAATTGTGGCTTAGGCTAATTTTATGTTAAGCATCATGTGGCTTATATGAGAAAATCAATATGGATGGTTAGTATATAACTTATGAGCATGTTGGAATAGCTGTTTCTAGATAATGTTTGCATTGTGGACGAATTTTGTATTATCTCTTTTTTGTGAAGAATATTAGTTTCTGTTGTTGTAGTTACCAGCCATCAGGAGGGCCTAGAATTGTAGAATTCAGTTTAAAATGAAAAGAAAACTCAAATCCTTTTTTTTTTTTAACAAGTTAAACTTTATTCAACATAGTATGTGGATTTGCCACTTGAAGAATTCTGATAAATAAAGTATGTTTTGTTATGTTTTGATTGTTACTTGTCATTATTTTTGGTTTTTTTTTATACATCTTTGATTCTTCTCATTCTTATATAGGTCAAGTTAAATTGAGCATGGAGGTACAAGATGTAGATATTTATTCGACAAAATCTTCAAAGTTAACAATGAAAAAGAAAATCTTGATCTTATATAGAACTTTTTCTAGACGGAGCTTTTTAAGATTTCAGTTAAAGTAGATGGAAATGTTATTTTGCTTTTATTCTTGCATCCCTTTTATTCTGAATCATTTGAATTGAATTTATAAACTACAAATGCGTTAGGAGTCTTAATTTTAGACTTTTGATCCAAGGAAGAAAATTGTGATTTGAGATAGTTTATTTGACAATAATGCAATAGATAGAAACTAATAATTTAAATAAACATATAATTGCAAGGAGGTTGTTCTTAATTTAAATAATATGTCTCCTTTAATTTTACATGCATTATCTTAAAATGTAAGTGAGAATAGGTTAGCTTCTGTTAGACTTTACTAAATTTAAGTCTCATATGCTAAAAACTCAAAATTTAAATTTGACTTATGGCCTATTATAAGCTTATAGTTCGGTCTAACTCTGATTATTTTAAAGGTCTTATTAGTCTATTAACTTATTTAAAAAGCTTATATCATTTGAAATATGTAATCAATTCAACTAAAGTTTAAATAGACTAGAGAATCAAAAGTACAATGTAACTAAATGTGTGTTTGCTTTGACTTATTTGATCTTAGATAATAGTATAAGTTTTGTGAGATTATTTGTTAGAGAGAATTTATGAAAATAACTTATGACATTATTCATAAGATTTTTTTAACTTATTTTCATAAATTTTTCAAGATAATTAAACTTTACTTTTGTATTTAATATAAATTACAAAATACAATATAAAAAATAATATATTTATTCATATTTATTAAAATAGGTCGGCTTGATAGATTTTAAAGACTTTTCTTATAGCTCGTGGTTTAGTCTATTTAACTAAATAGATTTATAAAAAAATTTAAGACTTTTTTATTTAAAAAAAAAAGGTCTGGTGTGACCTTGTTCTGTCTAGACTTACATTATATAACAAATATCACATTATGTCAATTGTATCTTGACAAATTATATAATTCAAATATAGTCTATAAAACAAACACAAGTGTAGCATTTACCATGCATTTCATAAGGTTCAACACTTTCAAATTCAGGTTTTGTTGCAACACTCACAAGTAAAACCAAATTATAAATTTTTCATTTAAATTTTTTATAAAAATAAAACAGTAAGAAAGAACAAACTCACAAACCAAAAAGCTAAATTTACATAAAATCGAGTTAGACAAAAGCTAGACGTGAAAAAAATACTCACTATTTAAATCTGACAACTGAAACATGAAATGCATAAGGGTCAACTTTTTTCTTGTTTTATTTGAATGACAACCTTTTCATCTTTGTTTTTCTTCTTCATTTGGTAGCTTCACACCAAAAGGATTGTGTTTGAAATAAGGTTGGTGATTCTATGTTCATGTGTAGCTTTAAAGAAGGATTGAGTTTGAAATGTGAAGAAAAAATGAAGCAAAGATTATAAAGAAAAATGAGAAAGAGATTGAGAGATCAAAAATACACTATGTTATTTTAGTCGTATGGAAATGGAAGAAAATTGATGCTAAAATTCATATAATCATTCTCTTAGTCTATGAGAACGGGTTTCAAGCAATGCCAAACCAAGGCGTCGCCTTATCCTTTCTGAACGGTTATACGATGTATCAATATTTTATATAGAATTTTCTTCTATTTTAATTTCCCTCAGACAGTCAACAATATATCATCAAATCATCATTGAATCAAATATATAATCAGAATAGGCATCCTATTCAATTCTTAATTTGAGCAACCAATATATAATCAAATGAATTCATAAATTGTAACAATAAATAATGAAAGAGATATAAAGGAGAAATATCAATTTATCAAATGAAGCAGACAAACCTTTTCCAAAACTAGCTTTGTAATGCATCAATAATCTCAAAGCCAATCTTAATCAAACGAAAATATTTTCAAATTTCATCATCAAATATAAATAGGATTTGATAGTTGGTGGTAACTACTAACTAGAAATAAATGAAATATTCGCAACGCTTATTCAAAGTACTGAGCTTATCCTACACTGAAGTGGAACAGTGAGAAGAAAAAAATTAGTCAAAGTAATGAGCATATCCAGTACTGTAATTAAAATGGAAGTGCTAAAAACTCTTTTAAACTATGATTCACTAGATTTGGCTTAAAATCTTCAATATGACAACATTGAAATATAGAATTTGAAGTACTCAAAGCTCAAACACAAGAATATGAAAGCAAGTTAATAATATATCTACAAATTCAAATGTCCTTATAAGAATCTAATACTAAAACCACACTAAATAGATTTCTGAAACCAATTAGAGAAGAAGTTAGTGTTCAGAGAACACCAGCTTAAAAACCAATTTCATGCCAAAAAAAATATAATCTTCTCTTCCATATCTTTCACATTTGTTAAAGAATCAGAAAATCGCTTATCGTTATTGACCGACCAAATGATCCACACCACCGCATATCAAATCATAGCAAAATCTTTCGTACTCTTAACCTTGAAACCTAAAGATAAGAAAAACTCAAAAATAAACATAAGCTCCCTAGGAAGCATCAAATGAAAACTTGACTATTTAAAGATTATATACTACACATATTAGGTTAAACCTATGATACCGATGCATGGGTACGTTATCCGGTATGAATATTGGTACCGATACGTAATACGATATTTTTAATAAAATCAAGATACAAGTACGTTAATATAAAACAAGATTTTTCTATAAAATGTTTGAATAAATAATTAAACCGTAAGATTCACAACAAAAATAATGATAAGATACAAAACCAAAGAAATCAAAATAAATGAATATACTATATTAATTTTTAGGAAAATCACAAATTTCATTCGAAACTGAATGATGGAAAAAAAGAAAGTACCATAAATATTATACATTTACCAGATACGAATGCGTACCCGATATCGATACTTCACCAATTTAAAAGTACCCATGCATCAGAGGGCTAAAGTAGACGTAATAAATAAATGAGATGCAAACTCTAGAGTACTATGATTCCAACTTATCAGAAGTTGAGTTAATAGGCGATGAGGTTCTTCGTGAAACTCAGATTATGATATATTAGAATCTAAGTTATTTGCTTCTTCTTTACAAGTTATTTAACTGTGTCAGAACCAAGTTAATTACTAGCTTAATGATTCTGCACACTTAAAGCAAATGTTAAAGTACTTTGTTATTGATCTTACCGGATCAGACTTGGACCGTCACGACTGACTCTGAGCGAAAGTTGAACGAGATGGGGGGGGGGGGGGGGGGGGGGGTACCTGCAAGACACTCCGATGCTAAAGTGAGTGATGGTACGAGCAGGCAAAAAGTGTGTGTATGGTAAAAGAATGAATACCTGGCCCTCTAAGAATATAGGGTATTTATAGCCCCCAGCGCGGGGCCAAGGTCCTTTCATTGGGCCGACCAAGACTGGCCCAACAAAGGGACTGCCAGGTTCTACGTGTGTAGTGGGGACCCGCACGTGGTCCCCTTCCTGGTGATGCTCTGCGAGAAGTACGGAGGGACGAAGACGCGGTCTTTCCGGAGTTCAGGTGATGGAGTAACGGTCATAGTTTGCCCTACGAGGAGGGTGCTCGAGCTGGGCTCGAGCTGGATTTCATGTGGTCGGGGTCGTCATGTTCGCGTGCAATGGCGGGCACGGTTGCAGTTTTTGGTCGACACGCTGACGGGAATCTTCGGGCACGTGCTCCTTGAAAAGCTGCTTGGATTGAGCCTTCGTTCTTGCTCTTGGGCCAGGACGGGCCCAGTCCAGAACAGGAGCCCCCCAAGTCGTGGCTTCTGGAGCAAGAGTTATGACTTGATCTCGGCTCGTCTTCGTCACGGGACCTTATGCTCGGCCAGGATATTTGCTTCCCCACGGTTGCTCGAGGAGTTTCTCCTGTGTTGTGTTCGTGAGATAATCCCTTTCGAGGCGTGCTCGGGGGACTCTTTGCGGGATGTACTCGTTGAGTATATGAGGCAAACCTTGGGAACCGTGACGTCACCTTAGTGAAAGTAGAGTCATCATTGCCTAGGAGAGTAGACATCGAGGAGGGGAAGCTCGTGGTTTCCCCGGGGTGACGTTTCGTATTCCACGTCATCCCTATAAATAGGATCATTGGATCCCATAATCCGTTTTTCCTCTTCGCGCTTCTCCTCCTTCCTCTGCCTTTGCCATCGTTGTTTTTCCAGAATTTCACAGGACCACCGTGCTTTCCGCCGTCGATTTTCTTCCCTGCCGCCGTACATCCTTCCTAACTTCCAAGTAAGCGTTTCATCCCTCATATTTTTACTTGTGAACACGTTTTTATATTTTGTGATAAAATTTGCCTAAGTTATGTCCCCGAGTCTCTCCTGTGCTCGGCTGTCACTTTGTGGTGAAATTTGCCTAAGTGTTTTCCTCGGGGCATGCTTGTGCTCGGCTTGCCATTTTGTGGCGAACTTTGTCTAAGTGT